GCGCCGGGGCCGCAAACAAACAGCAAACGCGACGGAGCCCCGGCCAGGCAGGCGCTGCCCGGCGAGGGCGGCCACCCGGAGCGGCGCTGACGGTGCTGAACGCGCGGGGGTTGCGAGCGCAGCGCCGCGGAGCTGCCCCTGCTTTGCCCCACAGCGCCCGGGGGCTCTTTCCGAAGGGGCCTTGGCTCGGTGAGAGCCCCGGGGTGCCCCATGGCACAGCCGCCTCCGAGCAAAGCGCAGGGAGGGGGCACCAGCACCTGCGTGGCTGACACTGCCTTCCCTGCAATCCAGCTCCCTGGTTCTAATTTGCTGCAAAAACCCTGTTTCTTAGGCCAGGGGCAGGAGGAGAGGAGGCTCCTGCAGGACGGGGCACGGTGGGTGTCGATGCAGGGAGGGCCTGGCCACGTGCACCACACGGGTCCAGCACCAGGGCCAAGCTGGGAGCAGTGCGCGACGGGGACACGAGGGGCCTGGCAGCCCCAGGAGCTGTGGAGGCTGCGCAAGGAGCTGGCCCGGGCACAGCAGAGCCACCAAGGGCAGGACTCGGCCACCCCAGCCTAGATCCAAGTGTCACAGTCCCATACTGCTCTCGAGGTTTGAAGAAGCCTGAGCTGCGCATAAAGGGGAAGGAAAGGGGCTGCTCTTGTCACGTGGAGGTGACAAGGACAGGGCCCTGGCACAGCCGCGTGGCCCAAGCTGATTTATGGCCAGGGTTAGCCCCGGTGCCTGCCCTGCTCTCCCAGCCCGCAGAGCCCTGGCTGCTCCAGACCTTCGGGGTGAAGGGAAGCTCCACTCGCAAAGGGTACGTGGGCCCCACTTTGGTGTCTCGGGTTTCTGTTGCGGAGCAAGGAGGTTATTCGAGACGCGCTGGAGGAACCTCTTGGTTACCGAGCCCGGGCCGCCCTTGGCAGCAGGGCCAGGTAAAAGGATTCCCATAACAGCCTGGCAAAGTTGGAGAACGTCACTCGGTGAGGGCCGCAGAGCCAGCACGGAGGGGAAGGCAAGGAGGGAAGGAAGACTCAGCCCCCTGCCTGTCCCTGCGGGGACACAGCAGAGAGCCCTGGGGACACGGAACAAAGAGGCGAGCGCAGCTCGGGACAAGAGAAGGGACACGGCCTGGGTCACTCGAGGGCAGGCACGTGCCTGCCCCACACGAGCGGCACTGCTGGCCTTGCACCAGCCTCGCTGCAGCAGCGCCCAGCTCCTCCGCGCAGCCCTGGGCTCCCGCTGGCACCAAGCGCATGCAGGGCGAG